GGAGGCTGAGGCAGGAGAATTGCCTGAACCCAGGAGGCGGAGGTTGCGGTGAGCCGAGATCGAGCCATTGCACTCCAGCCTGGGTAACATGAGTGAAAACTCCGACTCAAAAAAAAAAAAAAAAAAAAATAATATCCAGGGACCAATAGCCTATTGCCCTCATTCTCTAATCCAGGCAACTATCAAGTTTTTTTTAAAAACTCTGCCATCTAAATACATTTTAAATCTTGCCTTGTTCCAATGCCTCCACTATTGCCATGATTCAGATAGCCTTCTCTCACCAAGATTATTGTAGTAATCTCCTATTTCTCTTTCTCTGTATTTTTCAGTCAATCCATCTATCATACCATTGCTAAAATAATATTTTCTTTAAAAAGCAAATGCGGCCATGTGGGTCTCCTGCTTAAAATGCTTCTTTTGTTTCCTATAGACAGGATAAAGTTCACATATCTTAGCAAAACATATCAGCCTTACTTCCTGACTTGCTGTTAAATGCACTCTGGCCATATTGAAGTAAATTAAGTTCCTGAATGCATCATGCACTTAACCTGTAACTTTGCATATGCTGCTCCCTCTATGTCCCTCTTTCCTGCTACTCTAGGTCATCCTATCCGATTGATTTCCTCTCTGCATCTTCCTCTGACATGCCTTGACAGTTAGTAGCTTTATCCTTGGTGCTGCATGGTGTTGTCCTACCTGCACATAGCTGTATTTTAACATTTATTATATGATATTGTTTGTCTATATCCCTTAATAGTTGTGATCTCCTTAAAGGAAAGTATCATTGTGTGTAGCACCTACCACAGTGCCTGGAGGTAGAATAAGCCCTCAGTAATTTAAATATATATATATAGTTTCTCTCTTCTAGGTGTTTAATCTCTAATGGTTTCGCCACTAGACTAAACATTTCTGATAAATGGTAGCTGGGTTTTCCTTCTGTTTTGCAGTATATCAACTCCGGGAACCTGGAACAGTTGCTAGACAGTAACCTGCATTTGCCTTGGACTGTGAGGGTAAAACTGGCTTATGACATAGCAGTGGGCCTCAGCTACCTTCACTTCAAAGGCATTTTTCATCGGGACCTCACATCTAAGGTATGAAGGCTTTACTTTCACAACTCATTGAGAGATGCCATCCTTCTTTTTTGCCAAGAAAGTGGTGTTAGATTTAACATTTAATCACAGAGGACATAACTCATTACACTTTATAATTTGTTCTTGGAAAGCCTACATCTTTTCTTTCTTTTTTTCAGACAGAGTCTCACTCTGTTGCCCAGGCTAGAGTGTTTCTGCCTCCTGAGTTCAAGGATTCTTGTGCCTCAGCCTCCTGAGTAGCTGGGACTACAAGTGCGCATTACCACACTTGGCTAATTTTTAGTAGAGGCAGAATTTTGCTATGTTGGCCAGGCTGGTCTTGAACTTCCGACTGCAAATAATCCACCTGCCTCCACCTCCCAAAGTGCTGGGATTACAGGCGTGAGTCACTGTGCCCCACCATAAGCCCATATTTTCTTTTCTTTTTTTTTTTTTT